CGGCTTCCAGGCCCTCCCCTGTCCCTCGACCCCCAGAGCCCCGCTGCCAGCCGCGGGCCGCTGTGGGAGTTTCGTGGGGCCGAAGGAACCCTCCGGGGGAGATAAATTTGGCTTCGGATGCTCTGACCCGGTAGCCGGACGTCTGAAGGAGAGCAAAAGGACGGGGGCCTCACAGACCCTGCGGGGGCCGGGGCCCAAGGTGGGGTTGATGGTGACGGATGCCCTTCGCGAGCGAAGAGTAGGAGCTGCGTCAATGATGGTTACTGCCTTCAGCCTCTAACGAAGCAGGGATGCGGGCTCCGCCGCAGGGCCGGGTGCACGGGGCGGGGGCGGAGGGGAGGGGGGTTCCGAAGTGCACGCGGGGAAATGTAGTCCGCGCTCGGACCGCACGGCGCGAGGCAGCCTACAAACCTCGGTTTCGGCGTCAGGCCAATCAATGGCGAGGCCTCGGAGGGGAAGACGGGGCTGGGGGGACGTGTTTACTGTCCCTGGGGCTGGCACCGCCGCCTCTGCCTTCCCCTCCAGCCATGGTGTCCTCTACCTCCGTGGCCAGTTCTCATCCCCTGGACAATCCCCGTCCCCATCATAGGAACTTGGACCGAGGGTTTGGGGGTGGAGAGGGCTTAATGTACAACTTGTGCTTTGCATGCTTGGTGTCATTAAATCTTTGCCAAGGCCCCATTTTACAGATGACGCAGAGAGGAATGAAGTCCAGGTCCAGAACTATAAACGACAAGGCAAGAATCAAAGGCAGATTTTTAAATTAGAAAACAAAAACATGATTTAAAAATGCCATTCCACAGCTGATCAATGATTCTCTCTCATTATTGATGTTTCTATCTCTCCCTCTTTCTTCCTCTCTGAAATCAATAAATAAAAATGCCATCACATTTGTTTTATTTTATTTATGTTTAATTTTATTTTTCGATTATAGTCTACATTCAACACTTTAAAAATATTACTTTCAGGTGTACAGCACAGCGATAGACATTCAAATAGGTTGCAAAGTGTCCCCTCTGATAATTCAAGTGCCCATCTGGCACCATAAATAGTTATTACAGTATTATTTGTTTTGTTTTTAAAAAAATATATTTTATTGATTTTTTTTTTTTTTACAGAGAGGAAGGAAGAGGTTAGACAGTTAGAAACATTGATCAGCTGCCTCCTGCACACCCCCCACTGGGGATGCACCCGAAACCAAGGTACATGCCCTTGCCCGGAATCGAACCTGGGACCCTTCAGTCCTCAGGCCGCCGCTGTATCCACTGAGCCAAACCGGTCAGGGCAGTTATTACAGTATTATTAACTATGTTAGAAATAAGGTGAGCCCCTGAGCCAGGGGTCCTGGTAGGACACAAAGGCTACTGAGGACCCAAACAGCAAGGCAAACACCTTCACTCCTGCAGGAGGGTGAGCAGCACAGGGTCTGGCAACGCCCACACTGAGCAAACCAAGGCCTGGGGTGGGGGCTTTACTGCTGACCCACCTCACCTGTCCCACACTCTTGATTGGTTAGAGCTTAGGCTCACATTCTGGTGCGATTGGCTAATTTAAAGGAAAAAGGGAGGGGTTGACCTTTGCCATTTCAAAATGGTTGCCACCAGGGGAGCTGCAAGTCACGAAAGCTAAAATGATGTCTGCCTAAACTCCCTTCTTTGACAGAAAAGATTACTTGTTTATTCTCACAACTATGTGCACTGTATTCCCTAGGCCAGGGGTGGGCAAACTTTTTGACTCGAGGGCCACAATGGGTTCTTAAACTGGACCGGAGGGCCGGAACAAAAGCATGAATGGAGTGTTTGTGTGAACTAATATAAATTCAAAGTAAACATCATTACATAAAAGGGTACGGTCTTTTTTTTATTTCAATATAGAACAGCCGAACAGGCCGTAGTTTGCCCACGGCTGCCCTATGCTCTACCTTATATCTCATGCCTATTTTGTAACTACCAATTAGTACTTCTTAATCCCATCACCTTTTTTTAAAAAAATATATTGATTTTTTACAGAGAGGAAGGGAGAGAGACAGAGAGTTAGAAACATCGATGAGAGAGAAACATCGATCAGCTGCCTCCTGCACACCCCCTACTGGGGATGTGCCCACAACCCAGGTACATGCCCTTGACCGGAATCAACCTGGGACCTTTCAGTCCGCAGGCTGACGCTCTATCTACTGAGCCAAACCGGTTTCGGCAACCTTTTTTTTTAAACTGCATTTCCAACACCCCTCCCCTCTAAAATGCCATTCCCTTGAAAGAATGAGGAAACAGCTCTTCCGCGGTCAGCGACTGGCTCAAGACCTTCAAGCTTGTACATGTCAAAGTTTTGGGTCTTTTCACTCGGCTTCTCCTGAGAGGTCTTGGGGGTCTGGAGGGAGAATAGAACAGGGGAACCCCATGGACTCGGGTGCCCCGACCCCAGAGCACCGCCTCACAGGCCCCCTGGGAGGTTGTTCCGCTCTCGGAGGGAAGCCGCACCTGGCAACTGGCTACCTGTCAGGGGAACCCAAGCCCCATCGAGAATGCTGTTGGTAGAGAGAGGACCTGCTGCATTCTGAGTACCCGCAGTTCTTGAAAAAACAAACAAACAAACAAATTAAAAAAAAGTCCCACAGCTGAAGTTCTGCAACACAAAATAAGAAGGCTTTATAGTGCAAGATAAGAACTTCCAAGCCTGTGACATTTTTAACAGAGCTTATTAGCATTCATTTGAGCCAGGCAGAGGATACACCTGGAAGCAAGATTTCAACAGAATGAAAAATGCTTCCTAGAATGAGTTTGCAGTTTCTTTTTTGCATTTGAAATTAAAGAGGTAACTCAAGGAAGATTACATGAAGGTGGGAGAAAGCAAGGCAGAGATGGGATGGTTAACAATGTGCTCTCTTGAAGGTGGTTACCTTCTGAGGGGTCTGAAAAGAGCGGCCTAGAAAAAGAGGCATTTCAAAGGCGTGTAAATCGAGATGCACAGAAACAATAGACAGGGCTTGCGAAGGCAAAGATGAAGCTTTCACTAAAGAAGTTATATGCCTGAGTGTGACTACCCTCCATCATCTGCCTTGTTAGGAATTTATAATAAGATCACCCTGTGAGGTTATTGGTTAGATTTATTATACCCCCCACCTTTCCATCCACAATGGGAAAAATAAAGTTAGGGATGGGTTGCTCAAAATGTATGCAACTTTGTAATCAGAACACTATAAAAATATGAATGATTCTAATAAGAATACTAGCACAGTTAAATTTCCATGGGCATTTGCTCGTAGCAACACCTTCTGTCCCTTTGTGATCTTAAAGGCTGGGACTTGTCTGGAGATATTAACTTGGAGATGTTGGTCTGGAGATTCTAACTTCTAATGAAGACCATTTTCATCGAAATTAAAAATCTGATCCTGGGTGTAGTCTCCATTAATCTGTTATTTTAATATGGGAAAATGTGTTGCAGTTTCTTCACCTGCATTCACAGCTTTGCCACATACCATAATGGCAAAGCATTATTTGTAGCAAGCATTGTGGTATTTGAAGCCACTGTGGATATGAAGGAAGATATTTTCCATAGTTAGGCAACTTTTCCCCTTAAGATCGTCTTTTATTACTAAAGCTGCCCCTTTAACTGTGAAAAAACTGGCCCTTGATTGCTTCAAGACATTAACTTCTTGGAGAAAATTGCACATTAACCTCACATTTAATCCTCACCTGAGGATATTTTTCCATTGATTTTTAGAGAGAGCAGGAAGGAAGAGGGAGAGACACACACACAGAGAAACATCAATGTGAGAGAGACACATCAATTGATTGCCTCCCGCATGCACTCGGACCAGGGCCAGGAGCCTGCAACCGAGGTACGTGCCCTTGACTGGAATTGAACCCGGGATCCTTCAGTCCACAGGCCGATGCTCTATCCACTGAGCCAAACTGGCTAGGGCCCCAATGCTACATC